ATCCTGACGCTTCCCAGCACATCCCAACGCTTCCCGGTGCATCCTGATGCTTCCCACCCATTCCCAGCACATCCCAACGCTTCCCGGTGCTTCCCAACACTTCCTGGCACTTCCTGCCCATTCCCAGCGCTTCCCGACCCTTCCCAGCACATCCCAACACTTCCCGGTGCTTCCCGCCCATTCCTGACACATCCCAACGCTTCCCGGCGCATCCTGACGCTTCCCGCCCATTCCCAGCACTTGCCGCCCATTCCCGGAGCTTCCCAACCCATCCCAACACTTCCTGCCCCTTCCCAGCACATCCCGATGCTTCTCGGCGCTTCCTGCCCATTCCCGGCACATCCCAGCGCTTCCTGCCTATTCCCAGCACTTCCCAACCCTTCCCAGCACATCCCAACACTTCCCGGTGCTTCCTGCCCATTCCTGACACATCCCGATGCTTCCCGGCGCATCCCAACGCTTCCCGCCCATTCCCGGCACTTCCTGACACTTCCCAGTGCTTCCCGTCCATTCCTGGTGCTTCCCAACCCTTCCCAGCACATCCCGACGCTTCCTGGTGCTTCCCGCTCCTTTCCCCCCTGTCCCGGCCGCTTTTCCCACTTCCGGCATTCCCGCTTTCCCAGTGAAAGGCGACGACCTGCAGACCATCAAGAAGGAGCTGAGCCAGATCAAGCAGAAGGTGGATTCCCTGCTGGAAAACCTGGAAAAAATCGAGAAGGATCAAAGTAAACAGCCGGGTGAGGGCGGCGGGACGCGGGACGCTCCTTCCCGTCTATCCGGGGGGGTTGTGACCGTTCTCCCGGAATCCCGCGGAATTCCAGAGCAGAAGAACGACAAGTCGGAGGAGGAGCCGAGCGGAGGCTCCTCGGCCAAGAAGGAGGAGGCCGGAGCGAAGCTGGAAGCCGAGGCCGGAGCCGACGACTCGGCCGAGGAGGGCGACCTGCTGGACGACGACGACGCCGAGGACCGGGGGGACGACCAGGTACCGAATCCCGCGGGATTCGCCCCAAAACGGCGCCGCTCCCGCCTCATTCCCGCCTCATCCACCTCATTCCTGCCTCTCCCTGTCCCCGCAGCTGGAATCCATCAAGGGGGATGAGAAGGAGGCCGAGGAGGGCGAGGACGACCGGGACAGCGCCAACGGCGAGGACGATTCCTAAGCGCTTCCGCCCGGAATTCCGGCATTCCCGCATCCGTGTGTTCGTGGCCCTCCCGCTCTCGCTGTAGTTTCCTTTTCCCCCCCCCCCTTTGGAATTTTTACGCCCTTTTCCCGGTTTTTTTCCCCCTCGTTCCCCGTTTTAATTTTGATACCTCTTTACAGCTTCACAATAAAATGAAATTATGGTTTGTAGGACGGGC